ATTAAAACTTTTATATTATTAACATATTATGCGCGGGGGCTACGTTGAATTCAAATCAAACAGAAATCGAAATCAAAATCGAAATGAATTCGTTTTGGGTGGTCTCAACTGTTCGATGAATTTATTGGTCAGCATCTTGAGCTTCTTCGATGAGTAAACAAGGCCAAGACGGGTCCAGAAACAAATAAACAGCGGAAAAGAAAGACGCACTGCAGTTTGGGGACACTCAAATCCGTCCCAGCCTCTGTCAGTTCATCTAAATCCCATCCATTTCCAAGTGCAGCAACATTGTGACGAGTCGTAAAAGAACAAAAAGGAAAACAAGCGAAAGATACGGATACAAAACAATCTGTAAAGTGGGCATACAGGCACATCTGGCAAATGTGAGGGCAGCTGTCTGTCATTCAGCCTCGAAGTAGGAATAAGAATCGGAATGGGAATGGGAACGGCAACGGGAATGGGAATGGGAATGTGAATCGCAGTCGGCATCTGAATCTGAATCAGCCTGGTACTTCCTCCGTTCCCTTTTGTTATTCCGCCAGCAGACGGAAATCTATTGGGTGAACAACAAGAATAAAGGGTCGCGGTCGGGGAGGAACCAATAACAGACAGATTGCAGTTGCCACGATAGTCCCAGGCGGTTGGAAAGTGTTGACGCAGGCAAAAAAGGTTGACAATCCGCATGAAATATTCGAAATCCATATACGTATAAGCAATCTGCATAAAATGTAAGCTATATATAGAGCAATCTCCAAAACTAAACCCAAGTCAAGAAATTGGTTGTCATGCATACAGTAATGCAAGGAAGATAAAGAAAGGCTTTGGGCTTTGAGATTATTTTTTGCAATTTGCAAATGAGAATGTTAAGAGCTTGAGCCAAGGCTTAAAGTAGTTGAAAGAAGATGGGAAACATCAGGTTCGTTAGAGAAAAAATAAACTTTTATTAACTACTTTAATAATTAATTAATAATTATTAATTATTGATAATCATCATGGATACTGGGAAAAACACATTGAACCACTTCCAACCACAATGGTAATTTTTTTGTGGTAATAATAGAGCAGCAATTATGGGATTATAAAACATGGTATAAGATAGTTTTAAAGCTGTAGAAAATACCACCACCATTATATGTACTCGTGAGAACTCTTTATTTAAAAAACGTATGTATGGAGCATATTTCTGGTAAGCAAGTCATTCCATCCATTTATATTTTCCCATTTCCATTTCAAGTCCCAGACCGCGTTTAATTTTAGCCCAATCTATGGATTCATCTGGACGATGCGGGACCCTTACCCTATATTTCCCTCCCTGTCGCGTGGGCACCCGCACTACCATAGTCAAAAACAGTTGCGGTCAAAATAATAGAATTTTATAGCTTGCGGAAATAGCAATCAAAAATAGGTTGGAAACTACCTCTGAATTTTTTTTTTTTTTTACCAAAACTAAATGGGGCAAATATAAAAATTCACTCTTGTCATGTTTTAAAATATTTTTAAAAAATATTAATAAAATAAAATATTTTTAAATTTTTAATAGAATATAAATAAAAAACCTTTTTATTTTAATAGTAGTTATATTTAACTTGTTATAAAATCATTTAGTACTGCATATTGAAAAGTGTATTTGAAGGAACTAAGTTAAAAGTTCTTAAGTTACAGTTCTAAAAAACTAAGTTAAAAATCTAAACCACATTTTGTTTAATGGTAAGTTAGTAAATTAAAAGAAAAGTTGTCCTTAATTTTAAGAGTATGTTTTTAGCTATTTATATTATACCATTCCTATTATTTTAACCGAAATTGTATGTACATTGTAGATAAAGATGGGGTTTTTGTATCTGGTCTCTTGTCATTGTCCACGTCCGCCACTAGTTGAAGGTTGAATTGATCATCGCCGTCGTCGTCAGCATTATAATCAATGCAAAGAGTGGATTGTTTTTAGACGGGAGGAGTCTCTGGTGGGTAGATGGCCATACGTTGATAAAGACGAGATATTGAAGGACTCGCTGTTCTCGAGTGTTTATCGCATCCTAACGTAATCCAAAGTGATGTAAGTCTGCCATTCCCTCATCCATATTCCCGACCCTTTTGGCGTTCTTCGGCTTAGCCGGCTAAAGCTAAACCTCAATCTCACACCCTGCCTCCCCAATTAACCGTCCATTGCCGTCACACACTCGGAGAAAAATTTATAGATAAAAGCCATTAATTAGGAACTTTCCTCCGAGTTCACGAACTACTTTAATTTATATATTTTGTTGCGGGGAAATTTTTTTTCTAGATAAAGGACTGGCACTATCATGTTTTAAGGCACGCTAAATATATACAATTTTAATTTGCAATTTAATGTTTAATGTTTATTATCTGTATTGCCAAGTTTTGAGTAGTATTTTAAGGTTAAACACTCCAATTTTTGCATAGTGTGCGGATGACTTTTGCTGACGCGCGTGAAAACTACTCCCCAAGTCTGAGGGCCCCCCTTTGTCATCCCGCCCCCTTTCGACCTCCACCCATAGCACCACCGTGGGGAGCTATAGTGCAGCCTGACCTACATCTACGTCCACATTTACGTCCACCAAATGCAACAACACAAATCCGAAAAAGAAAAACCGAAGCCATATAGCTCTGCCAGCTGACCTGAATTTTCGCACACACACACACAATTTTCGCGCTGGAAGCCGGCATTTCCCAGCATCAAGGAGGAAATGGGAGAATGGAAAAGTCTGCTAATTTTAATCAAATTTCCCCGCTGGGTTTTTAGCAATGATTTCGCGTTGGCTGGATTGGGGGGAAATCCCAAGAAAAAGGAACTCGCAATTTGCATATGTTGATTGGGAAGCCGGTTAAAAGGGCGTTGTCCTGTCCTGCCCCTTTTCGGGATATATATAGCGGTAAAGAGGCGAGTGAGATAAGGAAGAGATGGTGATGATCGAATGGTCAGGCGGCGGAGAGACAAAGAAAAAATAAGGGAAATAAATGGGGGGAAAAGAACCGAAAAGGAAGCCGGAAGTGTGCAGCTGCTACTCACCCCCTCTACTCTCCGCCCCTACTCCTGCACCTCCTCCCTCACCTTTCCTTTGCGTAAAGGCAGTGTTGTCAGTTAAGCCTATTTCAAGCTATCTAGCATATTATTTTTAAAATGAATTGCATAATACATTAATAAATTCAACAAAGAGCAATGATAGTCCTGTGAATAAAACCATGTATCTTATGTTTGATACAAAAGTTTGTCTGTTTCTTTTATATAGTCCACAACGAACAAATATAATTGTATAAAATTAAAGCATTTAGGAATTATAACTACTAAAACCCTTTAGTATATTTTGTATGTTTTCTTCCATTTGGATATAGCTATATGGTTTTAGCATTCATTTTTTGTTTGTATCCTTCGTTAGCCTATTTTTATCCAGATTCAGAATCAGCTCAACACCTCGCAACACTGGCCCAGAGGCGTCACATGGAGCGCACATGGCAGGAACAAAACGAAAAAGGAACGGCTGCAAAGGCTGTCAAAGAGTACCTCTCTCACAAGAGAGAGCACTGTAAAATCAGGAGACTGCACGGCGGAACAAAGTGGCAGTGGGACAACTAGAGGCGGGGCAAAAGGATGAAGAGGAAGAGCAATGGAAATTGAAATTTATCCACGCGTTTTTCCTCGTCTTTGCCTTTCTTTGTGCTCCTTTTGTGTCCTATGCAATTGCAAACAGGACAAACCTGGAGGGCAGGTAAAAACTCGGAGGAAAGCGCACAGAAAGGAGACAAAAGACACATAACACGTACCGAAAATTTCAAAATAGATATGGAACTTAAAAACCTCGAATCTCAAGTGGAGATGCTCGAGTTCCGCTCAAGTGGTATTTTGGTATTGGTGTCGGAATAGGAGCCGATTGGAATGCGCCCATAATATAAAGTACAACCTCTCAGATCTCAAATGGAGATACTTCGAATTTGTTTACAACTTCAACCGAAGTGTCTGGGAATGTGTTTCGGAGTGACGTTACAGTCGGGGATTTTCCCGCATTCCATTAACCCCAAATACCCAACTGCATTGCATATGTGATCAACCTTTCATAAAATCTCATAATCTAAAGCAAGTTTTAAGCGGTATGCAAAGAAAATATGAAATATTTTAAATATATAAGAATTTGATCATGTCTTGTTTATTGAATACTTGTTTATCTTTTTTCAAATTTAACTATCTAAATACAGCACACGCATCATCGCTTAAAGTTTACCCAAGGACCGACAAACACAGTCCTTAAATCCGCGGACTAACACAAATGTGCGTCAAGGCTTAAGTTTCCATAATTTAATACTTAGTTTTAGACGAGATTTTAAGAGATTTAACACTTATATATCTGGTCATAAATGATACTCTTCCCACCCATTTTTAAGACTTTGTATGGATTGTTACCAAGGATATATATCCTTTTTTGATTACCCTTAAGTAGTCTTATTGTGGTTATCGTATGCTAAGTGCCCTACGCATGACTCATTTAAGGAGCTTTCACTTCCCGTTTCCCTTCCCTTAACCCAAATGATTTTGGCCCCTTTTACAGTTACAGTTACCGTTATCGGCAGAGGTATTACACGGAAAAAAATTAGCTCTTAAGGTGTTGAATAATGTTAAGTGAAGATTATTTGTATATGTTGTAACTTGAAACGGTATTATTGGCCCCATTTCACGAGAAATCATTGAGTTCAAGTCCCAACTCTGACTTTTTTGTTGTTTTTCAGCTTGCAACATCTGCCACTGGTAATGAAAGTACTAGTTCAAAACGAAACTACGAATTTTTTTCACCCTATCCTTTATAATAACTTATCAAATCAAATGTAATTTAAATTTACATAGATTACATAAATGCATGGAAATGATGGCGTTTTGTTTCTATTTATCTTATATACATATATAAAACTGCCTTTGAAAAAGTAATAGTGCGTTTTGATGCCATTAAGTTAATATATGATTTTTTTCCGTGTTTTGGGATTGGTATGGTACTCACCTCGAGGTAAACATCGCTGTCAGGATTGAAGGTGTCGTTAACCCGACGGAATGTGTAATTCACGTGCGGAATCGAGTGCAGGATTTTGACGAGAAGGCTCGGCTGCTCCATTTTTGTTGCTTTTTGCCGTTTTTTAGTTGTTGTTACTAGTGCAGTTGCAGTTGTAGTTGTGCGGCTGCCTCAAAAAACACACACACATGCACACAATCGCGTTGATACAAAAGGAATATAAATTCTCTCTTTATTTTTCCGCTGCTGCTGTTTTTGTTGTTGTTCTCTAGGAGGGGGGAGGGTTCTCTTGGTGGGAGTTTCTTTCAGTGTGGTATTGTGTCTGTCGGTGAGCGTGCGTGCATGCGTGCGTGTGTGTGTGTCTGCCAGCGAAGGACGTAGCTGGTTTTGACGTCACAAAACGACACCGCCGCTGAGAATAAGAGAGCCGCTGTAAGAACAAGAGAGAGAACACCGTTAGAGAGAGAGCGAGCCTGGTGTGTGTGCGGGGGAGAAAGTCGAATCCTGCAAAAAAAAATAAAGGAAAAACCAAAAACAACAACAACGCATGCTCTCTCTCCCTCTCCTCTCTTTGCTTTTAGCGCGTTCTGTCCGATGCTCTAAATTTTCACTTTCACTTTTCACACACCCAAAAAAAATATTGAAAAAAAATCCTGAAATCCAAAAAAAATGCACACACACAAGTAAAACACCGCCTGCGGTTTGTTTTGTTTGAGTAAAAAAAATATATGTTGAGGTACTATATAAAATAGTAATTTGAAAGGTCGCAGGCTTTACATCCGGCACATGCTATGCAGTTTTTGAATATGTATGTACATATTTATAAATGTTGATTACTCCTGCCAGTTGAACCAATTTTGTTTCAAATAACACACACACCCGCGATCGTGGTATAACTTCATCATAATAGCCAAAAGTCGGGCGTTCAGGGCGTTGTTTCATTTACCGTATCGTTTCAAGCCGCGACCCGTTTCGTTTCCGGTTCGTTCCGTTTTGCAACCTCCTCTCGCCCTCTCAGTTTCTTCCTCTTCTTCCACAACTTCTATCCCCGTCTGAGGTGCAAAAAAGATACTTCATCAGAACATCTTCTTTATCAACGGGATTTCCCTAGCAGCAATCCATATATTATACTCCTGCCCGGTGATTTTCGAGTTGGAAACTATCCGAGGTTTGATTCGATTTTTCGATGGCAGCGCGCACCCGACGAGCAGCGCGGTTGAAAATGCAATAACAAAGAGAGGATATTTCGCGGTTGCTTAAATAGACTTTTTCCTGCTAGTCGCCACGGGAGAGAGCGGTGAGAGCGAATGCATGGTGAGAGCATCGTGGGGCGAATTCAGCTATTCGTCGGACAGATTTTCAGATTGATTTGCAAATTAAAACAGATTTAGCAACTTGTGTTTCTATGGAATATGCCCCAAAAATCGTAAATTTTTATATTAAAAAATCAATTATGAAGCAAGATAATGTACATTTGCTGGACTGCGTTAAGTTTAATATTTGAAAACGAATTTTCGGTATAAGGAGTGATATCACTTTTATTGTATTTTTTTAATAGAACATGTCCCAAAAATCAGATACTTTGATAATTAGATAAACAATATCATAAGAAGATGAAGTAAAATTGCAAGTTATTGTATTTTAAATTAGCACTTCATTTAAATCATCTGTCTAATTTCTGCTCATAAAAGTTGGCATCACTGGCAGTGGCCGAGACATGCGCGACGCTCTCTTCTGCGCAGTCAATGAGAGGAACTGAGTCAGAGAAAGGAAGAGAGGCTTAAAGCAAAGACAATGACGTTTTTTAGATTCCCTACGTATACCTTAATGTTTTAAAAACGGCTGAACACCGGGGTATCCAATAATATTTACTGAGTATTATTTTGGTAAGATTATTATTCAAGCTTTTCAAAAATTTACAAAGAAGTTGTTGCAATGGATATGTTATTTATCTTAAAATGAGAAAAATAAGAGGCTAATTACTCCTAATTATCCTTTTTTTCATTAACATTATGAAGTACTATTAGTGTGCTTGTCAAGATTTTCGTGCCACAGCCAATATCTCCGATCTTTCCGAAAAAGTTACTTTTAGATTCATGGACCCAGGACAAATAGACCCCACCTTTGGCTGGTAGGGTGTCCGGTCTTTTAGATTCTTTTTGACTTGGATAATGGGAATCGAGAATGGAGTGGAGCATACAACTCCACAAAGAACAAAGAAAGAAGGAGGTGGAGGTGGAGGAAGTGGACAGTTGTAGAATAGATATGGTCCAAGAAGTAAACAAGAAGAAGGAACGGCCATCGATAACGATTTACACTATTTGCTCCCAACTTCAACTTCCAAAGTGCAACTTTAAGCGCGTATTCAGCTCTTTCTGCTGATATTTCAGTTTTTTTTTAAATGTGTGCCAGTTGTCTTCCTCTTATTTTTTTTCTGTATTTTTATCAAAGTCAAGCAAAACGAGTTTGCCAGTGAGGTATAAAAACAATGGCGACAGCAACTAACAAGAATAACCACTAAATGGTGAGGTGGTTTCTGCGGGGGGGGGGTGGCGCTGGTGCATTAGATACTTTGCTCTTGTTATTCAATTTCAGTTTTGGAATTTGATAGATAACTAGATTACACACTTTATAAATTATATAAATTAATAATGAATTCAAATTTTTATAATCAGGCTAATAATTTAATATTCTTAATTTTGACTTCTAGTCAAATTAGTTTCTTTTTTTGTTTTAATTTGAAATACTTTATATAATTTCAACCTCATGTTGCCGTAATTCAAGGCTTGAAAAATTCTTAGACTGGCGACGTTGCTCGTTTTCATCGTCGTAGAAATATGATTATTAACAATAAATATTTGTTCAACGGCGGCGGACTCTAGTTTGTTTTTGCTTTTTTTGCTTTTTTTTTTTGTTGCACTCAATGATAAAAGCCAACCATACACTCTTACAAAAACTCTTATCATTAAACGCACATGTGTGGAGTGTAAATAAAAGATTAAGGTTTTTAAAATAAAAGAAACTTTACTCTTTAGAGAGCAACCAAACTTTAACTTCTCTTTCGGTGAACGTTTATAAAAAAAAAGGTGAAAAAGGCATAAAACTGCATACAGAGAAAAAGAGAGAGGAGGCTAACATCGGCAAGCCGAAGTTCCAATACCCTTGCAATCATATAGCTGTCAGCTATATGATATAGTCAACTCGAAGAATGGATCCGAATTGATATATCTATGAGGGGGAAGCCAGCAAGATATACGATCACGTTACAAACTTCAGACCAAAATTATAACACCCTCTGCATAGTGTATACCCAGGCACTATCACTCACACGAACGCACACAGACAGATTTTTTACGCTGTTTACACCTTTTGACGTTTTTTGAAGCCCTCGAACAGCTCGAATCTTAAGTCCCCGATCCACCGCACGAATCCGGTTAGCTTTACATGTTCAGTTTCATTTAGCAAACACCTTTTTGCGCGTTAAAACGAGAAAACTCGGAAAAAACAGCAGTCGCTAGAGATTGGAGGTGGACAAACATCGATGTTTCCAAAATATCGGTTATATCGATGTTTGGCAGAGATATCGATGTTTATCCGTCCATCTCTCTTTCTGTTAGTTCGAGCTGGCAACGAAAGCGATGTTTATTCGAAATTGCTGCAAAGAGGGCTACTATACCCAGGATGCCGTCGATGTGGCATCACCGCCAATCTAAAAATTCCTACCTATACCAGTGTTGCCAGATAAATTTTAATTTAAATTTAAAACAAGTTATTTTTTAAAACCTATTAAGAATTTTGGTATCATATACAAATAAATAATAATAATACTAATAAAATACTTAATATTTATTACGCGACCAATTCACGATTCGAAACGCAGAAGGCTTTCAATATGTTTTTAAATTTTATATCTTGAAAATGTAGTGTCATTTTATATATTTTTTTTAGATTATGACAACAGTATTTATTGTGTAGAATTTAAGAATGAATATTGTTTTTTCTTGTAAATAATGAAGTTTTTTTTTTGTAACAGAAAAATTAAAACTAAAACAATACAAATATTTTGTGTTCATACATCAAACGATTTTAATAAATTGTAAATTCAATGATTTAAAGCCAAAACAATTATTAATACAACCGTAAATGCAATAATACAATGTTAGACTGCCTCTTTTGTTACCTTCGCAAAAAATAAAATAATAAAAATATTTAATGCATAAACATTTAATGACTTCAGCTTATTGTAATTTTAATGATTTTTTTTTTTACCAACGTAATAATATCAAAACCTTGCCTTAACTTAAGGCTATAACTTAATGAGACTTATAATATAACAATAAATGCAATAATACAATTTTTAGACGACCTTTTCCACATTTGGGTTAAGAGATTTGTTACCTACTCTTAAAAAACTTAGCAGTTCGCGCTTGAACTGCCCCAAAGCCCCCTTTTACTGCACTCGCCTCTACAATGTGTCGGGAAATCCATTCGGGGAGTTTTCTCCGAATACCGGCATTCGCATAGCGTTCATCTAGGAGATACACGCAAGCATAGTCCTTAATGTGACGAACTGCTCGTCCAATACACTGGTTGACCGCCTTCATGCAGAGATTCTCGTAGAATTCATTGCCGGATCCGGGTCCCAGTTTCTCATCCAAGTGCCGCATTCGCTGCTGAAGTTCCGGCGCCTGGCGATTGGGATATGGTAGACCCACCACTATCACTGCCCTGCCTAGATCGTCGGCGAAGTTCAGGCCCTCGGAGAGCTTTCCTCCAACGACACTCAGAAGTAGGGCGCCTCCTGATCCCGCTGCCTTAATGGCCAGCGCATATTTCTCCAATAGCTGCTCCGCTGATCCAGACACCTCCCGGAACAGGGTCTTCCTGCGGGTAATCCTTTCAAGGGTTCCCGATTGTTCCAGGTAATCGTAGACCTTATCCAAATACTCGTAGGAAGGCAAAAAGCAAACCACTCCACCTGGCACCACTTGGCACAGATTCTGGAGGATCATCGAGAGCTCCTGTAGCTGCAGTTCAGTTGGGAAATAATTATTAATTATCAATAGAGAACAGCAGTAAAGAGACGAACCATTTCTGGACTAGCCCTCTGGGCAAAGTTAAAACGTAAGAGCGCACGGTTTGGACCATTGGAGACCACAAAGGGCAGGACCGCATCTTCGGGCACCACATGGTTGTAGAAGCGCTCCACCAGGCGATCCTTGCAGCTGGTAAACAGCTGCTCCTTCAGCTCCTGAGTGGGCTGCATGGTTCCACCGGCAATCACAACCTGCAAGTATTACAAAAATCTTAAAAAAAAGGTGTTAAAATGTGATTTGCTTTGCTCACCGCTCTAGCTTCGTCCAGTATGTCGGCAAACTGCTCTGCAGGATCGAGTAGTAGGTACTTGAGGGTTCCCTGTTGGGGGTCTAATAAAATCCTGCCATCCTCCGCATTGCTGGTAAGGGTTTCCAGAAACGCCAGTAATGGTCTGATGGGTGAGGGAGCTAATTCCAGGTGCGGCTCCTTGGGCGGCTCCTCCTTTTCCTGCCGCTCCTCCACCGTATCGTCCATTTCCTCTAGCTTCCTCTTGCCCTGCTTCTTCGTTTTCTCCTTTTCCGTTTGCTCGCTGGCCAATCTCTGGAGGATCAGGCTCCTGGCCGATGACAAAGTCGGTGGCCGATTCTCACTGGGCTGTGGTTCTCTCTGCATCTTGGCCGCATGTCCTTGGACTTTCCGAGCGAAACGAGTGCGCGCACAAAAGTCCAGTAGCTCGCAAAGATCGATGTTGAAAAAGTCTCCCTCGGCCGTTAGCTCATACGTGCGCAGCATTCTCGAGCAGTTGGTCTGCGTGTTGTCACCCGGATCGAGTGCCTTAAGCAACCGCCGAACTATATAGATGAGTTGATTGATTTTCAACAGATTCTTGGTGCTAAATCGTTTCTGAAAGTGCTCCTTATAGCTCGAGATCTCCACTCTAGCTCGCTCCAGCCTTTGTCGGTTGATTTCAACGCCATGCAGCTGGGCCAAAGTGTCCAAAAGATTGTGTGCCTCGTCGACAATCACGATGGATCCTTTGAGCTTAATGCCCAGCTGCTGACGGGCGGACTTCTGGAGTAGCAGCTGATAGGGCAGTAATATCAGTTGGGCCTGCTCCAGAGCGGATCGGGAGGCGTAGTAGGAGCAGCCACCACAGGCGGCTCCTTGACCGGCCAACTCCTCAATGTCCAAGGGTTCAC